ACCTCCTCCTCCTCCACAGCTAACATAGATGACTTAAAAAAAAGACTGGAGAGAATAAAGAGCAGTCGCAAATGAAGCTGCCCCATTCCCCTGGCACCCTGCAGCTTTAGTTTACTAAACTAGAAGTCCTCATAGTTTAAAGTGGCCTCAGCAGGCCCAGTGTACACAAACTGGTTGTATGTATCATGCCGTGGAGCTGGGGGAGGAGTTGTTGTGGCACAAGTATTTGTACATACTCTGCTTCTCTCCGTCAGCGTCCCGCCGCTCTAGAAGACTGTCTGTGGATGAGTTTAGTGTACAGACTTGTAAACAGCTGCCCCTTCTGCTCAGTCTAGTTCCCAGGTCCTTTTCTTTTTAATTGCTCATTTGTAAAATTGTCCTAATCTTTCCTAGCTTTCTAATAGTTAATATTAGAAACTCTTTAATAGTTTTCCTTTCAGTTTGTGAGCTCTTCTCTCTGTTGCCCTGAAGGGTCACTGTATTCTGTATGAATGCATGGCATGATATGACTAATTTAAGAGTCTTTTATAAATAAAGTTTGCATTAACTATACCTAACGCCCAAGGTGCTCCATATCATGGAGCATTGGGCAGCGATTTGTTTAACCTCTTTTGTTACCAGCTGGCTATTCAGCCAGTTTGAGAAAGGTTAATTACTGCTTACAGAGCTTCCCTTCTTCTTGGCTCACAGACTTGGAGCTGTCTTGTATTCCTTTGGAATGGAAGGAACTCACCTTTCCTGCTCTCCACATGCAGCTCCTAGGGAGCAGAAAAATCTCATCCTTGTTTTTGAGATTTTGGTCATGACATCCCTTCCATTATCACCAGTGGTTTCAAGGAGCTCTTGGACCTCCTACCACTTTGCTGACCAAAGGCACACAAGATTGTGCCCAGAGATTGGCTGGGCTTCGTGGTTCTCACACTTATGAGAACTACACTTGGGTTCGTTTGACTAATGGAGTTTGGGAAAGCTTAGTGGTTTCCTGCCTGGTTATCTGAGCCTCTTTTGGTCCAGGCTAACAGTTGCTTCACATGCAGAGTAAGGACCAGAAAGTGATCTGAGTATTCACCTCTGGAATAAAATCTATGGGACCTCCCTCCACAGTCAGAAAAACTCTTAAGGATGAAAAGGTACTGGATTCAGGAGGAGATTTTGGCCAGTTATAAAGTTCAAAAGAACTTTTCTGTTGTAGCTCACCTTCTACTCAATTGATGTCCAAGAAATGAAAGACTGATGGAAGATTAATCTTGTATAGGTTCCAGACATCGTTTTTAGGTGGCCCCTGAGCCTCTTGAAATTAAATTTCTCTCCTTTATAATGGAAACATGGGACTGGGTATTTGTTCACTGAAGAGATGAGGCATTTGCTGCTATAGCGGAAAGACATCTAGAAAGAATGGCTACACAGGCTGGGCCTGATGCCTCACGCCTATAACATTAGCATTTTGGGAGGCTGAGCTGGGTGGATCACTTGAGCCCAGGAGTTCAAGACAAGCATGGGCAGCATGGCTCTACCAAAAAAAATACAAAAATTAGCTGGGCATAGTGGCTCAAGCCTGTAGTCCCAGCTACACGGGAGGCCGAGTTGGGAGGATTACCTGAGCCTAGAAGGTCAAGGCTGCAGCGAGCCATGATCACTCCACTGCACTCCAGCCTGGACAACAGTGTGAGACCCTGTCTCAGAAGAAGGAAAAAGAATGCCGTACTCTGGTCTGGAATTAGCACAGCTGATTTGAAAAACCCAAGTTCCTAGAGCTTACAACACTGACTGCTATGTTGGAAGGAAACAGACTTACGAGAACGTGTATCCTTGTTTAAAAAGCAGGTCCTGCCGGGCGCGGTGGCTCAAGCCTGTAATCCCAGTACTTTGGGAGGCCGAGGCGGGTGGATCACGAGGTCAAGAGATCGAGACCATCCCGGTCAACATGGTGAAACCCCGTCTCTACTAAAA